CTCCATTGAAGCTGCAGGATTTCACAAAAGCCCGTCACAGTGGTTCATTTGGAACCATAATGTTTACGGGTGGAAATTTCAGCAAAGGTAGAGCAATGCCGACAGTGAAAGAGAGGATGATCCTTTCAATGTAGAGGAACTAGACCAAGCCTTGGATGACGTTGATGTCGTCGAGATATAGTAGTCCTCTACGAATTGTAGACCTCCTGTCAAAGGTGATCGATTTCTTGAGGCTACTAATAAATAAAAGACCGATTACTATTCGTAAAAATCCGTTGATTTTTGTGGGGTACTCGGAATACAATAACTTACGAAGTATCTAAAATATTAAAGTAAACGAAATATTAGTCACAAAATAAATTTGGGCACATAAGTAAAGGAGGTATAATCAATTGATAATTTACAAAGTTCCGCCAATTCTGTCATTTTAATACCTTAAATTACACTTTGGCACTACTAGGTATTGAATCCAATTTTTTTGCTTCATACCATATATTCATAAGGTTTGCTTTTTTTAGGAGCTTTTAAATGCATTTTGTAAAAACATGCTCAAATTTGTGAACTTTCAGTACCTGATATGGCGACTGAAGAAGTTTCCGAGCGTGAATGGGAGCAGCGTCATACACAGGCGCTGCGAGACACAGCAGAATCTCTTCAGCTTGGTCGATCTACGGCGCAAGTTCTAAGCATGCAAACCGAGCAAATCAATCGCAGCGAGAAGTTAGTGGACGAAACTCAAGCAACTGTAGCCATAACCAAGCGCGTGCTTCGTGGGATGACTTGGTCCGGCTGGATTTACAATAAATTTTCAACTGTACCTCAATTTTCAGACAATAATGAGCAAGACCAGGTAAGAATAACCGAAATGAAAATTATTGTAATGAGTAGAATGAAATTATGGTATTTTTGGGATAGATTGCAATGGGATTTATTTGCCCTGACTGCAAAGTAAAGTTCCAGTCTGCAGATCAACTGGGAAGACACTATAACAATATTCACACAGAGACTTTTAGTATCGTGAATGAAGTATCATCTTTGAAAGAAAACCGATCGCAATCTATTCAGGAACAGCAGAAGCGTGTAGTAGAGGTTTCCAATGATATCCATGAAATTTTTTTAAAAAATTTAGAGCCTCAACTTGCTGAGCTGAAAGAGCAAGCGTTGGCGTTAGGAGGTGCATTGGACGCGCAAAATGAAAAGCTTGATCAACTTGATACAAAAATTGGACGTGTTCAGCACGATTTGAAGCAAGTGAGAATAGAAGCAGACAAATTATCAGGACGAAAAAGTCACGTAATTTTTAAATTTCGATGTGCATTTCAAGAGCTTCAAAGTGGAAAGTTTCTACGTGATGTAAATGGAGAGCCATTGTTGAGGTATATAATGAAGTTGCAGTTACCATAATGTGAGAAATTTAGTGACGAATTTCAAGTGCTGATGTTGTTGTAGATGGCTGTACGTATCGTGCATACACTCGAGGCGATGACAGTGATGTTTGGGGTTTTCAAAGCGAGAAATCAAGCTGTTTTTTAGGAATTAATCGTTACGGAAGTTTGAAAATCCAAGGCCGACAGTTGAATTCGTACGAGCAATTTCTCGTGGAAAACAAGTCGAGTACCCATTTATTTTGCATGTCCAGCTACTTTGGACTTGGCGGTTGGATTGCGACTAACGAATCCATTGCTAGTGGTAGACTCACTATCATTCGTGGCACACCCGAAAATAAATTACGAGCAGCCTCTTTTCGAATCGTATATCTGGAAGACGAACGAAAAAAAAAGTAATTTTTTCGAATCTCCAGAATCTGAAAGTTGTCTTTCTCTCAGAATCACAAAAATTTGCTGTTTTACCAGATGAAATGGTGCTTATCCGCTTCATCTCCTTGATCCACTTTGTTGTCATTTTCTGCCTGTTTAATCGGTCGAGCTAACTGCGATCGCCACATCACTTGTCTCCCTTTACGTTTCTTCGGGGCCTGCATACTCCTTTCCATAGACTTTTTCATTCGCTCATCGTACATTTTCTGTTGCAGTGCAATTCGTTCTTGACGAACACGTTCTCGTCGTTCTTTTTCCTTTTCTTTTTCCGCTTTTATCACATAATCTTCCGGCATTTGCTCAATAGCACTTAAAAGGTCTTCCAAGCGAGCTTCTAAGTCTGTCAACATGTACAATGTCGATGATTTCGTCTCAGTTTCAAAACCACATCGTTTATAGACTTCCAAAACTCGATCTTGTAAGTCTTTTAACATTCGTTCTTGTGCATTTTCTCCAGCACCATTTTGAGATCTCAATCGTAATTGGCTTGCCTTACTTTCTTCCACGTTGATCTGTTGTTGCAATCCCTCGACATTTGTCTTAAGTGTCTGTGTTTTGTTATCCATACTTTTCTTCGTTTCGCGGTACGTTTGCTTTAATTCTTCGAGCGTTTGTTCAGTTTCTTGACTATTTTGTATCAAAAAAAGATTGCTCTCTTCTAATGCTGTAAACATATCAAGCAACTGTTGTGGATGCTGAAAGTACATTGGAATCTCTTCGTCACTACTTGTAAGCGGCATATTGTCGAGATTCGGCATTGGCGGCACAACCATCTCTTTGGCTTTGCCAGTTTTCTCGGTCTTTTTTCGAGTCGTCTTTGAATCCGGACGTTCCTTTTCATTACGTTCATGCTCTTCAATTTCAGCCAGAACTTTTGATTTTTGCATCTCCCACTCGCGCAAGATTAGATCCTTGCGTTTTTGCAGTCGAGCCATTTGTCGTGCTCGTTTCTTGTCGCGTTGTTCCATTTCATACTCCTGTGGAGTGAGTTTATCCAGAAAAGCTTTAAAGTGAAGACAATCTTGAAGTTGTTCACTGAGCTTTGACATGTCACTTTGCACGAGTTGTATTTGCTGATTGAGCCTTTTAATCTCCTGAAGTTTCTCCGTTTTCGCTTTTGTTTCCTTCTCAGCCCGTTTGATTGCTTCGTGTGCTTTCTTGTCATTTTCTTTTAAAAAAGTATCAAAACGAACTGCGTCTTCTTCAAGCATCAACTCACTCTTTTTCAAAGCTTCTTCTTTCAATTGAGCCCTTTCTTCAAGTTTTCGAATCTCCTCACGCTTTGTATCCAATGACATTTGTACAAGAAACATCTCTCGCTTTTTTGCGATAAATTCGGCCATACTTTCCCTTTCCCGAAGACGATCGTTTGAAATGGTAGCAGTTGCAGCAGCAACGAGACCACGCGTTTGATGGACCGAAGAGTAATCATCAAGACCAGTTGGCTAGAAAAAAGATCTCAGAAAAGTTTTAAAAGCACAATTTGTTCAAAAATGGTTGCTCACTGTGTCATTGGAGCGAAAGCGACGAAAATTCCCAATCTTGGACGATGCTGTGGTCTTATCGTATACTTTGAGTCGCGAGTTTGTAATTTTTTCCTATCACAAAACGTCTGAGAACTTTGAAGCTTGATGATGCTTTCAAACTTCACAAACCTCATCTTTTCGTAACTTATCTGTCTCTCGCATCCGAAAAACTTCTTCATCAGACGGTAGTGTGAATGGATTTGTTTCTTCTCCTACATGTTCTACGAAGGAATGAGGCCAAGGCGACTATCAACATGAGCGATAGTAATATTCGAAATAACTTACGCTGCATTGTATGGACGAAGAAGGTAAACTTTCAAGTCCAATCTTAAGGAGATTAGAATTGCAACGGATGGGATTATTATTTACAGACTCTTTAACAACCACTTTCGTAGTGAAACGACCAGGTGTGATTCAGTATTATACTCTTTCTGATATTCTTGTGCGATATTATCTGTATATAGTACAATCAGCCAATTTGAAAATATTCATTCATGTCCATCATTAAATATCGTACAATACAATAGTGTGTCACGAATTACCGACATGCGCTATGTGTGCTACTAACTCTTATAATTGTGTACACACTTTCGACCGCTCAAACTTGGGTTCGTCCAATTGAGCCAATCGTGAAGTTGTGGACCGCAAGTGATGCATGAAAGAAAGCCATGATCTAAATAGTAGCATTCATTTGAATGAGCCGTTCCAATTGCGTTTGTGGTCAGTGCGTACCTATCCGAGCCATGTACTACGTCATATTGCCTTGTGCGCCCCTCAAAGTCGTGGTTAAGATATTGAATTCAATCTCACCAAACAATCGTTATTCACTATCGTCGTGTTGCACAGTAAACACAGTGAACTATCTCCACAGGACCATGTCCATCTGGGAATTCGGACATCAAAATCGATGTGTGGTATTATGTTCTCAGAGGAATATTATCATCTTTAAGATCATGTGATACTCTTTATAATACTATCAAATCATTCTGTAATTCACATCAGATAGTAAATGCTATTATTGCTTTATAAATATATTTCTTACATGTTGACACAGCTGTCGAACAAGTGCGTAATATGCAAGTAATTCAATTACTAAAGTTGACCATGGTTATCTCCATATTGTAGAAATAAATCAAGCTCTCCAAGTCGGGAGAGGCGGGCACTGGCGTATTTTTGCCAATCATATGTTTGCATCACGGGTTAGGGCTTTCGTCTCTACAAGAGCCTTAAACTGCCTACTTTTTCGACGTTTGCTCGTCGGTGTACAATATTCCCCCTCACATTCTAGCAGACGTCCAGTGCAGGAGGAATGCACACCGCGTCTCCGCAGGACGCCGCCTCGATATCGGATGCCATGACCCATGAGGAGTTACTGGCGCATCAACTGAATTTACACCACAAAATTCAACAGCAGATGCAACTCCAGATGGAGATGAGTATGCAACTGGGTTCACGTCAATCACTAACATCGTCGCTTGCTAAAGTGGAACCGGACCTAGGCGATAACGTTTTTGATATGTTAGATGATCTTATCATGATTCCATCGGGAGCAGTACCACCAGAACGTAGTTCGCTATCAAAACACACGCGTGAAGAGACTGTGGACGATGATCCACCTGCTGTGGGCTCTGGAAGTGTTGGTGGCAGTCGTGATAGCCTTGCAGATATTCTCGAGAGTCTAGATATGGATTTAGATGATGAAATGAATGATGAGATAATGTCTTCAGGAAGTGAACGTGCTCATAGTACCAGCGACTCGTTGGATGAAGGAGATTTGGATGATTTAGACGATCTCGAGAATTATGACCCAGATGATATACAGGACCAACGTGATGGACTGTATAAAGCAGAACCGAATGAAATTGCACCAGCAGATGAAGAATTAGTGCATATGAGGCGTTCATCATTAGATTTATTGGCTTCAATGCGTGAAAGTACGTCTGGTATAGCTCATCATGGCACAGGAAATATGTGCACATTAATATGGGAAGGTGGACTCCTTGGATTACGACTTCGTCTCTCACAGTCCCGATTAATGCCAGCGGTGTCCAAAATCACGGGAAAAAGCTCAATATTTGGTGTCCATCTTGTCGAAGTGGGTGATTTATTGCTACGAATTGGCGATCGTGTAACCCGTGAGATGGAATTTCTGGACGCGATTAATTACTTGAAAGAGGTACCGAAGCCCTGTACGTTAGTATTTCAGCGATTATTGGCCGATCCAATGGCAGTAAAACCGGTACAACCGAAGGTCAAAAGTGCTATTGGATTAAAGTTGGCTGCGAAATTTGACGAACTTACAGCCGCGGAAAATGAAAAATTTCCACCTCAACCAGCAGTAAAATTTGATGCCAAGTACGAGATCAAGTGGATGGATGGACCTTTGGGAATTAGTTTGATTGCAAGTAAAGATGTCCCATATCCACTTGTGACGCGTATTACTGGTAAAAACCGGTCACCACAGGTACAGGACGTCCAACCAGGTCATTATCTCGTTCAGATTGGAACGTATAATACTGCTGATGGCAATTTCAATACGGCCATTAAATTTTTACAAAAAGTACAAAAACCAGTGTCGCTTTTCTTTTGCCCAAGTAGTAAGAAAATGTCTTTACGTCCCGACTTGGCAGATGATGAGTACGATCATATTTGGGAAAAGAAACAACCTCTGTGTTTTACTGTACGACCGAGTGTTATGGGTCATATAGTGGTGGCTGATCTTGGCAGTGCTAAGTCAATAAAAGTCAAGATGAAGGGTGCACCGAATAATGTGGCAGCTTTTGTGAGCTCAGGAGATCGGATTATGTGGATCAATGACGACATTGTAAAAGATTTGACATTTCATGAATCGTTACTCAAGTTACGTACAGCAAAACGTCCGCTTGTTATTCGATTTAAAAAAGGTTCTCCTGAAGACGCAATTGCAGCATATTCGTCGTCTGATGTCCATGTGGCATCCAAATTTACGAATTCGACAGTATCATTAGGATCGTCCTCAACGTCCGTTTCTTCGTCCACATCGACAACTGTTATGTCACCCTCACATTCTATCACGTCTTCAAATGAAAATGCACTACCAACTGTACCACATCCAAAGACCGGACAGCCATTGGCAGTTCCACTTCCTTCACCGCGAACTTTTATAAATCCGCTTAAAAAAATGAGTATAGCTCTTGGCAATCATGCTAAAGACAACGTCACTGGAAGTTCCAATCCGAAAGCACAAGAGGAGTTGAGAAAACATCAAGACAGACAGTATATATCGCAGTCACAGCAGCACTCTCCACTTGAAGTTGTTCAGAATAAATACCGAAGCCATGGCGAGCAAGATACAAAGCGAGCAGGGCATGATAACACAAGACAATTAAACGCATCATCATCAAATGTTTTACGACATTCCCCTCATGGCTCAAGAGGTAAACCTCACCAACTTGCATTTACCACGTCTACTAAAGACCCAGCTCCTCGGACACTCAGCAGCCCGAATCACAGCAGTGCACATCAAAACGACTTAAATCATCGGATTGCAGATCCAGCGAATAAATTACGCAATTTGGAGCATGGACCGCATAAGTCAATACTAGCAAAGTCTCCAATTGATCCGATTGACGATACTCCGTTAAAGCCGCTAAGTGGTGGTCGTCAAGGATCGACACCTCCATCGTTGTCACACGAGCCAAGTCGGCATAGAGAAAAGGAAATGGACAAGGACGATGATGTGTACGAAGTCATTTGGCCAGAAGGAACAGCACTTGGACTCACGTTGCGAGTACATCCGACGACGAGATTTCCTGTCGTGGCACGTGTGACGGGTACAAGTAATCTTAAGAATATTGAGCACGTCTCACCAGGTGACATTCTTTTTGCTGCGAACAACATGAACATTGTACCACAACCAAAGTTCAAACAGACACTTGAAAACCTATCACGTCTCCCAAAGCCAGCAATATTGCGTTTCCGACGTGTGTCTGCTACTACTTCAGCTTCATTGCGCTCAGATGAGTCGGATCAGATGCTGCCTCGCGGTCCAGCGCTCAAGGACCGCGAGTACGAGCTCATTTGGCGAGAAAGTGCCAATCTTGGATTGGTCTTCAGCTCAGATAACGATGTTCCAAAGGTTACAAAAGTTGATATGGATTCCGGTGGTCCCATGCTGCACAAGGTGTCAGTTGGAGATGTTCTTACGTGGATTGGTCCAATGGAAATCAGTGGCTCGACATTTCAATCGTCCATGGCAAAACTGCGTGCTGTAAAGCGACCTATTGTGCTACGTTTCTACAAACGTGGAACATGATCATTTGAAGCGGATTCAAGCTGAATACGAATCATCAAAGTCTTAATTTAGCTAGGAAAGGGAACAATGCAGCATCAGTAACAAAAATTGTAAGTTTATGGTGCTACAAGATGACGTCCTGTTAGCAAACATATCTTTTTCTTGTCAGTACCAATGTCACATTCGTCATCGTTTCGTGCCATATTGTACAGGACTATATGCAGAATCTCACGCACTTATTAATATCGTACAAATCCAGACGTAATACTTAGACGTGTGCTTACTATATCGCTTCCTCTTAAGCTTAAAATACGCCACTGCTAGGTGAAGACACGTGAAAGCGCTCAAACTTGGCCGCAAGTGCTTGTTTCTTGGTCAAAATTTCATTCCGCGAGTTCTTGAGATCAGTTGATACGTCAGTCACATTAATTGCATCCATGAAAAACGCCAGAAGAGGTGCTTTAACATTTGAAGAGGACACTGTGACACCCGAAGGCGACAAGAAATCTTCAATCGCAAAAGCGTAATGGTGTGCAATGGCAAAGCCCAGCATTTCCACACAAATGACAAAATCATTGAGTGCCGACGCAATTTTCTGTGCATTCCAACAATCAGGACAGCCAATATGCCACTTTTCCGATATAACCCCAACACTTACGAGCATACTGATCATAATTGACTGCCAATAAGTAAAGAAGATAATAGCTTTAATCGCAAGAAATTTTGGCCATGGTCGCATGGGTTGTAACTCTTCGTGAGCTCCATGAAAAAAGATGAGTAGACAATATAATGCCCATGTTTGAGAAGCACTTAAGATGAAGCAAACGTAACCGTAACTCACAAAAGGATTCATGAGTTCACCTTCTCCGTAAACTCCTGCTAAACTTGTGATAAGCATCACAATACTCATCAATAATTTGATTGGAATGTATTGTAATATTCCAATTGTCGTTTGACGCAAAAACTTTCCCCCCATAGACCACGGTCGTACACAACAAAATGGAAAAACATGCGTCATCTGCGGCTTTGAACGCATGGTGCTTGCTAAAACAGACTGACCACCAAGATATTCAACGAGGAAACAATGAAACGAGTAGAGAGCAAAGGCTTCATATAGATCGCGTACAGTCTCGAATAAAAGCTTGGACTCGTTAAAGACTAGTGCCATATATGACGTTAATGCGTAAATAGGAACCATCATGAGGATACGAATCACATGCTTGCGAATGCCTGCGGATGGATTGTATAATAAATGTGTCCAGATGAGCCACCCGGATAAGACGATCGCTAGCAGCGTAAATGCGCCTGAAATCGCGTACGCTAGAGTCTGCAGTTGCATTGGACTTGATATCACCAGATAATAATAGTATATAGTCTTGGAAACCGGTAAAACTGTTTTGTTATTATTTATTGAGCACATTAAGAAACGTTTCTAACGAGACCATCTATTCGGGTGGAGGTCGTTCTCCCTATAGCTATGGTGGACGACAAGGTGATTGTGAAGCAAGAGGTAAAGACAGAAGTTAAGACGGAACCTGAGGCTTTAGCTTCTTTAAATGGTGCACCACGTCTGGACGCTGCTATGTTCTATCGCCGTCTCGAACGTCTTTATAGCGCATGGAAGGTATACTGTTTTCCTCTCTTTTACTTTGTTCCATATTTGACTAATAAGTAGTATTTGAATTCACTAGGAACACAAGCATGAAGTTCCGTGGGGTGGAAGTGACTCGTTCTGTGTCCTTGCGGGTCGTGCACAACAGGAAGAGTCAGGATATCGCAAATCTGCGTTATTACAGATCTTTTTATTGGGCTTTTTGGAGTTTCCTGAAACGCTTATGATATTTACCCCCAAGACGTTGTACGTGCTTACAGGTGGTAAGAAATACACGATGCTTGAGGCTGTTGCAAAGGAAAAGACACTGTCGAAAAGTGTCAAGTTAGAGTTATTAAAGCGGAATAAAGAAGATGGAAACAAAAGCAATTTCAGAGTTCTGACTGATGCGATCAAAGCCAGTGGAACAAAGATAGGGGTCTTGAGTAAGGAAAATCCATTAGGAGAGCTCGTGAGTAGCTTTAATAAAGCTCTAACAGCCACAAACGTTGAGCAGATTGATGTGAGCAAAGGGATTGAAATGGTGTTATCAGTGAAAGAGAGTGAAGAGCTTGAAAATATTCGATGGGCAGGGGCTTTATCAAGTAAAGTGTTCAAACTCAAATTTATGGAAGATATGGAGCAAATTATTGACGATGAACAATCGATTAGTCATGAGAAAATTTCAATGGCTATTGAAGATGTGTTTGATAATCCATCAAAGATTAAAGTGACTATTGATCCAGTAGATATTGAACCGTGTTACCCACCAATTATTCAATCTGGAGGGAAGTATGATTTAAAACCTAGTGCGCTAAGCAATAGCGATGCAATGACGTATGATGTCATTATTTGTTCTCTTGGTGCACGGTACAAAGGCTATTGTTCCAATGTTGCTCGAACATTCTTCATCGATCCAACAAGTTCCATGGAAAAAGCGTATGAGTTGTTACGAGAAGCACACGAGCTATGCATTAAGGAGTTGATTCCAGGTAAAAGTGTGGGTAAAATTGTGGAAAAAGTGCGGAAGTTTGTTCAGTCGAAAAATGCCACGCTGTTTAGCAAATTGACTAAAAATTTGGGATTTGGAATTGGATTGGAATTTCGCGAGTCGTGTAATTTATTAACGACAAAAAACCAAACGATCATTCAAGAGGGGATGGCTTTTAACGTTGCGTTTGGATTTAATGACATTCCTATTCCCGAATCGCAGCGAAAAAAAAAGAAATTGGAAAGTTACGCTGTATTTCTTGCTGATACTGTCGTTGTGTTGGCGAATGAGACGAAATGTTACACAAAAGTGCCAAAAGCGTGGGGCAAAGTGCGTTACGATATTGAAGAAGATGATGAGAAGGTAGATGAAAAGATTAAGAGTAAATCGAGTAAAGGTAAAGATAGTTCTGTACACGGAAATGTGGACTCGTCGCTGTCAGGTACTCGAAATCAGGTGCTTCAGTCACGTCTTCGGGACCAGCAACGACAGCTTGAAGGTAAAGAAACAGATCAGGAGCGTCGAGACCGGCACCAAGCTGAACTTATGCGTCGAAAACGTGAAGAAGCGATGCGTCGATTGGAAGAACAGGATAATGGGATGTCGGATGATCCAAAGAAGGAAAAAAGCATTCGAGCGTATGCTGGTCCACAGAATTATCCGTCTGAATTGCGTGAACGTCAAGTAATGGTCGACATGCGTGCCGAGGCGGTGATTCTTCCGATCAACGGGGTTCCAGTGCCGTTCCACATCTCAACTATAAAGAATGTTAGCAAGTCGGAAGAAGATAAGGCGACGTACTTGCGTATTAACTTTTTCGTACCTGGGACATCACTCGGACGCGATGTGCTTCCAGCCATGGCGAATGCAATCACAAAATATCCTCACAAGATGTTTATCAAAGAATTGGGATTTCGCTCGACGGATGCACACAATCTAAATAACCAATATCGATTAATTAAAGAGCTTCAGAAGCGAGTAAAGCAACGTGAACAGCGTGAACAGGAAGAGTCGGATTTAGTGGTCCAAGAAGACTTGATTTTGACTCGTGATCGTCGTGTACCGCGTTTAATTGACTTGTCAGCGCGACCGCACTTGACGGGCCGTAAAACTCATGGTACGCTGGAAGCGCATTCAAATGGTGTGCGATTCACTACGAACAAGAACCAGAAACTTGACATTCTATACGCGAATATCAAGCACGCAATCTTTCAACCATGCGATAAGGAACTCGTTGTTTTGATTCACTTCCACTTAAAGAATCATATTATGATTGGCAAGAAGAAACAAAAGGACGTCCAGTTTTATACTGAAGTTATTGAAGGCTCACAGACGCTAGACAATCGACGACGATCGATGTACGATCCTGACGAGTTAGACGAAGAAAATCGAGAACGTGCATTGCGAGAGAAGCTGAATACAACGTTTAAAGAATTTTGTCACAAAATGGAAAGTGTGTCGGAACGACATGGCAAATCAGTGGTGTTTGATATTCCCTACCGTGAATTGGGATTCATGGGTACACCATTCAAAGAGATGGTGCTACTTCAACCATCCGTGCACTGTCTTGTAAGTCTAACAGACATGCCGTTTTTCATTATCTCACTTGATGAGGTGGAGCACGTCCATTTTGAGCGTGTCATGTTTTCGTCCAAAAACTTTGACGTTGTGTTTGTGTTTAAAAATTTTGACCTAATGCCAATGCGAATCAGTGCTGTGTCTATGGGTGAATTGGAGCGAATTAAAGAATGGCTTGATGATATTGACATTTGCTTTACAACTGGTACTGCAAACTTGAATTGGAAGAGTATTATGTCAACAATCAAGAGTGACAATCGGTTTTACCTCGACACGGACGATGACGGTGTTCCAAAGCCAGCTGGTTGGGAATTTCTAAAGGTGTGGTTGAGTAGTTTTTTATTTTATACTGCGTTTATTAACTTTTATGCTTTTTGAATGTAGATGGAAGGGTCGGATGATGAAGATGAAGATGAGGAGGAAGCTGGAGATAGCAATTATTCAGGTGCTTCGGAAGAAGATGACGATGAAAGCGAATCGAGTGATTCGGATGGCTCAGACTGGGAGTCAATAGTTGATGAGGATTCCATGTCTGAAGAACCTTCCGATGAAGAGGATGCTCCGACGTGGGACGAGCTCGAAAAGGAAGCACAAGCGTCCGATCGTATGCGCAGCGAGAAACGTGAGCATGACGATGACGATGAAGAATATCGTCGCTCGAAAAAGAAAAAATCGCGTCGTCAGTAGGCGTAGATCACCATTCGATGCATGCGTTCGTACATTTTACGTGAGAAATATTACAATGAACGCGATGTTTTGCTTTATCCGTGGCTTTGGTGAGACTAATTTTCTTCTCTAGTGTAAGTATGAACAGTCTTCATGTAACGAATATGCCGATGACGGATAAAGAACTACGTGAGACTGTGCATTTAGCTTTTAGCTGCTACGACAAAGACGACAGCAATTCAATCAATGCAATCGAGTTACATCATTTAGTTTCGGATCTGGGTGGAGTCTTAACAAAGCGTGACTTTAATCAGGCGCTTAGTATACTAGATCGTGACGGCAACGGCGTAATTGATAAAGACGAGTTTACAGCGTGGTGGATTGAACAGTCAAAGGAGAATGAAGTGGCGGGAGAAGTGGAAAGAACGTTGGCGAGGCTAAAGGATCTCGGTCGTCAAAGATTTCGAATTGATGTTCATACAGCTTGTTGGAAAGGTTTTGAAGACGTCGTGTCGAGACTTGTATGTGATGGCTCAGAGCTCGTAAATGCACGAGATGATTCGGAATTTGGTGTAAGTTCTCGCTTTTCGAGCATTGCATAGAGTTAGAGATTAAAGTGGGTACTGCAGAACCAGAATTCGCCACTACATTACGCAGCATACCAAGGACACACTTCAATCTGTAACATTCTTGTGAGTGGGTTTTCTAGTCATATTGACGTCGCTTATCGTATATAAATTCTTGGTCACAGATCTCATCTGGGGCGAGTATCAATGCTACGAACGGATCTGGCTGTACGCCAGTGTTTTTCGCGTCTCAACAAGGACACGTGGAAGTGGTGCAGCTTCTACTGCAGGTTTGTTTTTCTATCCTGACGCTGACAGCTATGCTTACATTTTGATGAGATAGAATGGAGCTGATCTTCGAATCGTAGAGAACAATGTACTTGACTTGAGATACATTTTAAGAGATCACTGCTAATGGCAATTTGTTTTACGTAGAATGGACTTACGCCTGTAGATGTATGCAATACTCCAGCAATACTGACACTGTTCAAAAATCTACCAGGCCAGCGTAAGATCGTATGGGTGATGCTCCAAATGCTGTGATAAGATAAGATGATTCATTGTTCAATGCTCTTAGCCCCATCGATTCCAGCAGCACCAACTTTAAAGCCTTTATCAGAAAGCACTATAAAAGTCTTATGGTACGATGATCGCGAAATTTTGAACATTCTTGCTGATATCAGTAATTCATGAACAATCAGGTCACCACCTCGTCCAAACTTGAACGAAATCCTTCCAGTTTCGGGATACATGATTCAGATCTCGTCCAACTCAGCACCATCCAAGATTGTACATGCAGTTGCATTCCCTACTGAGACTTGCGTCAATGATTTATGTGCCGACACTGAATATCGTGCGTCGATATGTGCGATCAATCTTCATGGTCGAAGTGAATATAGCGCAGAGTCGGAAAATGTTAGGACAAAAAGAGGTGAGTTTGTTAGGTGCTTGCCGTCACATAAACTAATAGAAAACATGTGAATCACAGCCAAGCCGTTAGCACCAATCTTAAGTTTCACAAATGTCGGACCAACGGAATTTACTGTGAATTGGGCTCTTGCAGCTCAAGATCACCAATCTAATGTCTCTTGCATCATTTACTTGACGTCGCCTGAATCCAATGGAACATGCAAATGGGAGTCGGTGTTTAGCACTACTGATCAACATGTCAAGTACGTGAAACCTCGATCAATATCTAATTCAATAGCTGACATTCGAATGAAGTTTCACCACAATCAAAAATTTAGCTCCAAATCATCGATATAAAGTACGGTCAGCAGTCATTAGCTTGGAAGGACAAAAAACGCTTTCCGACGCGATAACAATTCGAACTAGCGGAAAAGCTCGCACTTCACGTGGTTATTAGATGTTTAACCAGCACACACTGTTCGCATCTTTATTTTGCATTGTTAATACATTAATAATTAAGTAGCTGCTCAATTTTATCGATTCGGTATGACCCCAACAAATGCGTTTGCCGTTCCTCAACCATTATTTGCGAGTCGAAGACAACGTACAGCTACTTGCGACAATCAAAACACTGCCTTCTTTACTGCTGATGACTATGCAGCGTTTTCTGTGCGTGGTGATGTCTACAAGTCGCGATTTTATGGATCATTAGAGACGCGTCGACAAACTATCCTTACACCAGTCAATGCATCGAAAGCTAATTCGAAACACTCAGCAACGATTGACAAGAAACATCGACAGTCAAAGCATATGGTGCAATTACTAATAGAGGTGATTGAACAGCATCAAATTCAAGCCCCAGAGAACATTGTAGAGCTTGAGGACGCGCGTCGAAGACTTTCTAACCTTTCAATTGCTCAACATGAACGGTATCTCATGCTACAACACCAATTATATCAAGCGCTTAAGGTAGGATGGATACTAGTATTTGCAAGAAGATGGTGTTTGTGTGCTAATGTAAGACATTGAGAGCAGCAAGGATTGCCGGAAGTACTTGCACTCTCAGACAAAGAGGCAAAACAATGGCAAAACTTAAAAGCAGAGGTTGAACAGGAACAAATATGTTTTTGTCGAATGATGGCAAGAGGATTAGAAGCAGAATTAGCTGTGGTTGAGAAGCAAGTGACAACACGGACGAGTACATGGGTACGTTAAACGTTGACTATTGAAACTGTCAGTGTTTTAATTTGAGGCATTCGAAGTATGATGCATGGCTCGCACAGTGTTGGAACGATGTCAATCGTTTGTATCCTAGATGGTTTGAACCATGCATGGTCGTCAGAGTGGCTTCTTGTGCTCATGAAAACACGAAAGTTGCTGATTTGACAGCCAAGGAGGTGGCTACTCGAGGCACGTGCTGCGTTATTGATCTAAATACTTATGCGGTTCATCAGCCGGTTATAAATATTGAAAAAGAGACCGAGGAGGATTTAATCCATGTCGTAGCACCACGTCAAGCCATTTCCGCTGATATTCAGGCTGAGGAATTGATGGAACAATATGATTGTGACTTAGCTATTTCATCTTCGACATTGATGACACTCTTTGATAGCGATACACCAGCTCGCTTTGGCTATGTTGTAAGTTAAAATAAATGAATTTGGAGAGTTGATCTTTGACGTATCGATATGGAAACGTAGCCTGATAAGTGGGGAATCTTAATGAAATCCCGAGCAAGTATTCATGAAAATGGCAAAGCGACAAAAAGACGCGTTTTCTTAGATCGCCCACTTCCTGGAAACACAAATAGCACACGAGAAAAGGTAATAGAAGCAGGACGCGCTGATTTATTGTCACGTTTCGAGGTACGTTGTTGCTAAGCGAACGGGTACAAAAAGTTCTTATATTGTTTTTTCAGACTGAATCGCTTGTTAAAGGATCTACAGGTGGACGAACGTCGTATCACGTCTGGCAATTAAATGGGATGCGAATTCTTGTGCGTAGTACAACATACGCAAATATGACTAATTCGACATTGTCAGAATTGGATAAAACGAAGGAAACTATCGCACCCTTGAGCGTATTTGTAAAACCAGATTACCAATTGTTGGGGATAGAAGAGCAGCTCACAACAAGTGAACGATGCCGCTTTTGGCTTCATTCATGGCTTCGTGGAAGCCCAGTCGTTCTTGTAGCTCGTGTGAATCCTCGAAATGACACAATAACGTCATGGAATACGTATACTCCAACATCACTTCTCTATGGCGACAGTGCGCAACGTCTTTTGCCACCTGAGACTTTTGAGTACGTCGATACTACTTGTTGTTGTGGCTAGTTTAAACCTTATTGTTGTTGATGTATTTAGTCCGTCTTTAAAATTTCAGTGGCTATCAACGATATTCACGACATTAGTTGATCTCCCTGTTGGTACCTACCTCTTGCGTCCGTTTGACTTGAAAAATTCATACACGTTTGGCAAAAAGCGTGGTGGAGTGGAAGTCTTAATGGCTACAACAGAGCGTGGTTTGGATCAAACGATTGTTGATTTGTACGACTCTATGCCGACATCTGCTCCGTCAGTACAGTCATCTTTTGACATGGTGTCATCTAAAATTCCTGTTCTTCCATCCTGGAATCTTTCTGACAGAGTTCCGTACACCTTTCAGACAGGCATGTATTGTCTTTCATTCTTTTTAAATGGAATATGCTCGTCTGTAGCGGCGGGTAAAAGTTGTGATCGTGCTCATTTGCGTCTTCCAACGCAAACAAGTTCGAGTTCAAGGATAGCAGCAAAATCAAAACGATGGAGATTCGAGAATGTTAAAAAAGTATCGGAGTATGCAACGTATACGAATATTGAGGTGCGGGATCGTTTTGTAACAACTAACTTTCGATTTTGCGGAGAAGATAAGGCTCCACCTATTATCTCAGATGTTTCTGAGGTATATGCGCCGGTCCATTGTATCAAACAAGCAAGAGAGTGCTCACAACCACATTTGACGCTTCATCAGATTCTCAATCGACTTGCAGACGATTTGTTACATAAGGAGCGAGAAAAGCGACGAGTACAAAAGAATGGATATCGTCAGCGGCAGAAAAAAATCAAGAACGTAAGCACTGATTGAGGATAAATGAATGAGTCATTGTTCTGGTTCGAAATAGTAGAATTGCTGTTTTCGTATCACTTGCCGAGGATTTAAGCATTATCACGAATGCATATTTTACGAGAATAAAATATCACTTCAAATGCTTTATTTAAATGACATCAATTGCTAAGCATATTCTTCTACATGAGTCAGGATTCCCAAGTATCTATTCCACAAATAAAAATGTAGTATAATTTGTTTATCTTACAATTTATTATATTTTATTCATGAAAAGTTCTACGATTTATTATACTATGTTGATGAGAAATCCTACGATTTTAGTAGTATCTTCTCCGCTTCAAATTACAATATAAATCCAACAATAATCTTTACACGCAGCATTATTTATGAATTTATTGTGCTTTTTTAAAAAGTTTTGTTATTGGATAAAATCAGTGTAAATCTTAAGCTCTGTCATCCATTTGATCATGCAGAGCGGCCGCTTCGGCATGCGCGGCGAGCGGCGTAACCCGTTAGTAAAGCAATTAGTATTGGAGAATGATCGTCCAGCAAAAATCAGCCATTTGAACTTTGGACTTCTCTCAAGTGTTGATATGATGCGAATGTCAGAATTACGTGTGCAGTCTAAAGACCTTTTTCAAGTACAAACACGCGAACCACAAATTGATGGCGTATTGGACAAGCGTCTTGGTGTGTCAAACAAAAGTGACATTTGTGAAACTTGTCATCTTAAGCTATCAGATTGTGTTGGTCACTTTGGTTACATTCAACTCGAGTTACCAGTATTCCACATTGGTTACTTTAAAGCTATTACTGAGATTCTGCAGACTATTTGTAAGAGCTGCAGTCGTGTGTTATTACCACCAAGTGATCGTGAAGTATTTCTACGACGCATGCGAGAACCAAAAGCCGATGTTTTGCGACTTGTTGCTCTTCGTAAGAAAATAGTATTAATGTGCAAGAAAGCTGTCAAGTGTCCATATTGTGGAGCAATCAATGGCACTGTGCGTAAGGTCACAAGTACGACACTTAAATTGGTGCATGAAAAGTATCGTGCAAAGGCAATGCATGACTTGCGAAATGTCTTTGTAGCACAATTTGCGGAAGCTCAAGCTAGTAATCCTGAAATTGGAACTCATTTGTCAAAAGCTCAAGAAGATTTGAGTCCACTTGTGGTACAACAGCTTTTTAAAGATATTCCTGATCAAGATTGTGACTTATTGTGGGTCGATGCAGATGGAGGGCGACCTGAAAAGCTTCTTTTAAATGCAGTTCTCGTCCCACCTGTTTGTATTCGTCCATCTGTGGCCATGGATGGAGGTACAGGAAGTAATGAAGACGATCTGACTGTTAAACTTCAAGAGATTGTTCAAGTGAATAGTGCGCTTCGTGCAGCTTTACAGAAGGGTGCATCATTGAAAATGGTGATGGAAGATTGGGATTTCTTGCAGATTCAAGTGGCTCAATTCATGAATGGAGATACTCCTGGTTTAGTGAAGCCACCTGGATCCAAGACTGGGATTCGTGGTCTATGTCAACGGCTCAAAGGAAAACAAGGTCGATTTCGTGGAAACCTCTCAGGCAAGCGCGTGGACTTTTCAGGTCGAACCGTAATTTCTCCTGATCCAAACCTTCGAATCGATCAAGTTGGTGTGCCAGAACATGTGGCTAAAACCATGACGTATCCCGAAAAAGTGACTCGATACAACCTGCAAAAGTTACGCCGTTGTGTACTCAACGGACCAAAAGTACATCCAGGTGCGAATGTTATTCGTATCGAAGGACAAAATTTCACGAAAAATCTACTCTATGGTGATCGTACAAGTTTGGCCGAGGAATTGAAAATTGGAGATATTGTTGAACGACACATGGAAGACGGAGATATTGTGCTTTTTAATCGTCAGCCTTCGCTTCACAAGATGTCAATTATGTCGCATCGAGTCAAAGTTATGCCGTGGCGAACATTTCGCTTTAATGAATGTGTGTGCTCTCCATACAATGCCGATTTTGATGGCGATGAAATGAACATGCATCTCCCACAGACGGAAGAAGCTCGCACTGAAGCCATTACGCTTATGGGTGTGGAACAAAATCTTATTACTCCTCGCAACGGCGAACCACTTGTTGCAGCCACACAAGATTTTCTTACGGCTTCGTACTTACTCACACAAAAGAATATTTTTTTTAATCATGAACAATTTTGTCAAGTTCTTTCGATTATGAGTGACGCAAATGAACATATCGAGTTACCAGCTCCAGCGATTGTATTACCAGTACGTTTATGGACGGGAAAACAAGTCGTGAGTCTGTTGATCAAACCGAATCGTGACACAAAAGTTTTGGTGAATCTCGAGTTGAAAGAGCGTAACTATACAAACAACAAATTTATGTGCTGGAAAGATGGATACGTGTGTTTCCGTAACAGCGAGTTGATCTGTGGGAATTTGGGCAAAAAAACGCTTGGAGATGGCAGTAAACAAGGTCTTTTCTACGTTTTGATCCGAGATCATGGCGCTCACGAAGCTGCTCGCTGTATGAATCGCTTAGCAAAGCTATGTGCACGGTGGTTGGGCAATTTTAAAGGTTTTTCTATTGGAATCGATGACGTCACGCCGTCTGAGGAACTTGCTCGAGAGAAGGAAAAGCTCTTACAGGCAGGTTACGATGCTGCAAATAAGTCAATTGAGGACTATCGACGTGGAAAGTTGTCGTTAAAACCTGGATGTAATGCCATTCAGTCACTAGAAAGCGAGCTAAATGGTTTGTTAGGAAAGCTTCGTGAGACAGCAGGTGCCGAGTGCATGCGTACACTTCCGTTTCATAATAATCCACGTATCATGGCTGAATGTGGTTCAAAAGGAAGTGCGCTTAACATTTCACAGATGATGGCATGTGTTGGGCAGCAATCAGTCAGTGGTAAACGTGTACCTGAAGGATTTGTAAATCGTACACTACCGCACTTTATGCCTCATGCACTCCATGCAAGTGCGAAAGGATTTGTTGCGAATTCATTTTACAGTGGACTCACAGCGACCGAGTTTTTTTTTCATACAATGGGTGGACGAGAAGGTCTTGTTGATACAGCGGTCAAGACGGCCGAGACGGGATACATGGCTCGTCGTTTAATGAAAGCACTTGAAGATCTATCGTGTCAGTACGACGAAACTGTACGAAACTCAGAAGGTTCGGTCGTCCAGTTTACCTACGGAGATGATGGTCTGAATCCAGCGTATATGGAAGGAGACGACCGACCTGTGGATTTTCACCGTCTGCTTGAGCACATTCGTAATACCTTGCCGGATCGCGAGTCACCAGCACTACTTCCATTTGAGCTTCGTCGTCTTGGCAAGGAAGTAGTCCAGCGTCCAGAATTTCAAGCAATCTTACCAACTGGACGCAAGTTTTTGATTGAGATTGAAGAGTTTCTAGGGGCAGTTGCAACAAACATTGCATCAAATCGTACGGGCTGTGGAATTAAATCCATGGACAAGAAGGTCAAATCTTACGCTCAAACATTAGAAAAGATTTTCGATGAAGCGGTTGGCGTGGGTGCGCCAAAGCTCGAATCTGAACGATTGAAGAAAGAAGTGATTACTACAAAGGTCGAAAAAGGGGCTAAGCTGCTCATGAAAGGTGAGAATGACATTGACTCGGATAATGACACGGAGGAGTCAGATGAAGACTTGAAAAAGGACATTTTAAGCTACAAGGAGAAAGACCTGGACAAAGTGGGATTACCGGAATGGGAACATGCACGCTTTAAGACAGCCACATCTCGTGCCGAATGGAGCAAATATGCCGGTCTTGAAGGTACTAAAGAAAAAGAAGAAGCAGCATGGCTGCTTTCGCACAATGTATGTCGAATTACGACGAAACAGGTTGAAAAGTTATTAGAAATCTCATTGTACAAGTACAATCGTGCAGGAATAGAGCCTGGCGAAGCTGTAGGTGCTATAGGTGCTCAGTCAATCTCAGAACCAGGTACACAAATGACTCTCAAAACATTTCACTTTGCTGGTGTCGCCAGTATGAACGTCACATTGGGTGTGCCACGATTGAAGGAGATAATTAATGCGTCCAAAATCATCAGTACCCCCATTATCACAGCTGCGTTGGTTTGCAAGACAGACGAGCGCTCCGCTCGGATTGTCAAGGGTCAAATTGAGAAAACCACGCTTGGTGAAATTGCTATCTACATAAAGGAAGTGTTTGCACGCGATCAGGCATATCTTTCTGTTAAGCTGGACTTGAGAGCGATTGAGCAGCTACATTTGAATATAACAGCACGATCTGTACGCACGAGTATCTTGAACGCAGTTGGTATCGGTCCTCGTGGCGTTCTTCGACTCTTAAAAGAGCAACACGTGCTATTGAACGCACGATGTCCTGATAAGTTGCGATTGCTAGCGCCATCAAATTACAAAGGAGCCAAAGGCGACACACGCGGTGCGTACTTTACGCTCCAAGCGCTGAAGTCTGAATTACCAAATGTGATCGTTCAGGGTATATCAACAGTTAATCGTGCAGTGATTAATTATGAAGAAGTACAGGACGCGAACGCAGCGAAGTCGCTGCACTTGTTAGTTGAAGGATACGGTCTTGCTGAAGTCATGGGAACTCCAGGTGTGGATGGTCTGCATACGACATCAAATCACGTGATCGAAGTGGAAAAAACTCTCGGAATTGAGGCAGCACGGGAACTTATCAGCTCGGAGGTGAATTATATTATGAGTGCGTACGGTATTGGTATTGACCGACGTCACTTAATGCTACTATCGGATATCATGACATTTAAAGGAGAAGTTTTGGGGATTACACGCTTTGGAATTGCCAAAATGAAAGAGAGTGTTCTCATGTTAGCATCGTTCGAAAAGACGACGGATCATTTGTTTGACGCAGCAGTGCACTCACGTACAGATGCGATTGTTGGTGTAAGTGAGTGTATTATTATGGGCGTGCCTGTGCCGCTCGGTACGGGGATCTTTAAACTACTGCGTCAGGTTGACAAACCACATGTTCAGCAACGACGACCACTTTTAGCTGGGATGTAGATTACGCTTTGTTTAAGAACTTTTCTTGATATTGATCGCAGTGAAAAAGACGGTCACTTGTTGATAGTCGTGTGTCTCGATTGCTGTCTCTATTTTTCAAAGTGACCCGAAGACATTAGTGCTTTTGTATGATGAAGCTGATAGCAAGATACATGATCCATTTGAATGCGAGATTACGTTAAACAATTCTGCCTCATACTTTATCGTCCCATTCTCAAATTGCTACTTCATGGTTGATATGCACTTATACTACAAAGAAATCTCTAAGTCGTGATAGCTCAATTAACAATAAATTGGTCAATTTCTTTAAGTAATTTAACCACCTGAAACTAACGCTACGCTTTCCGACTCGTACTTTTGTTTAAACGCTTTTAAAACGGCAACGTCCGAATCAAGAGTAATATCGAAGCCCAGCGTAGAGATAACAGACGTCGGATTCCACTTTCGTATCATCCACTCCGTAAATTGAACTTGTTGATAATTCGTTGCAATCGTTTTAACAAACAGATCAGGATCACCAGTCGCCGCTTGCAATACATTCGCCAATTGTTTTTGGTGAAAATATTGGCTGAGCGTGTAAATCATTGTTATCCTTTCATTTGGGTACAACTTACTGAAGTTGTCGATGTAGCGCTGATAGTAGATGAGCAAATGAAGATTCTGAAATAGATTTTCCACATTCACGTTAAGCCCCGCCATTTCGAACACGAACATCGGGTCTACATGATTATTCAGCAAACCATTTGTGACTGTATTCAAAACATTCTCATCCGTCGAAGATATGAAGCCCTTGAACCACTCAACCGAAGCAGTAGAGATCCGGTGGAAATACGCAGTTGTGAAATCTTCAAAGAGTGCTTGCAATGGAAACTCTTCTTGTGACGTGTGAAGCTGAAACCTCTCAATGATGTCACCCGGATTCAACCCTCGTTCCATCCATCCATTCACCAACAGTTTAAGAATCTCCGCACACACAACACTTTTTTCGATTCAAGCAGCTTCAATGTCATGGTCATTGTCTCGGTTGTTGAAAATAGCGCGAGATACTCTCCTACGAAGTCGATATAAGTCCACAGCACTGGACTAACAGCCCCACTTCTCTCATCTAACAGCTTGTTGAGACCCATTTGCAGCTTCCTTTTGCCCATCGTCAGATATCTTGCATCGCTAGAGACTATTGTTTCAAGTACATGTCTCGGTGGGATAGACTCGCTCACCCATACCAGCACGAGTTGGTGCAACATCTTCGTGCACACGGGCTTGTATGTATCATACAATGAAGCGAACATCTTTGTCAACTCGACATCGGTGAGGCAACCTCTTAAAGATTTAATAATGCCGTCTGCTGCTGCTGGAACATCCACTGCACGAGAAGAATAAGACTTCACCCATACTGGTACAAGTTCGCTGAGCATCGTTTTTCGCGTATCAGACTTCAGACGAACCGATGAAGTGACCATCTCAATCAATTCGGCAGTATCAAAATACGTTCGTAAAATTCCAATTTCATTGATGCGAGAGGTTGGTGACGTGTCTTTGTGAATGTGTAGAACATATTGCCAAATCGGATAAAGCTTGTTGTCGAAGACATTACCTTCAGGCTTGTTGAGGCCTAGTGTGTGAAACAATATGCTTGGTGCACTCCGCTTAGCCAAACGCTGACATCTCGCTTCTAGAAGCGTCGTGGCAATAAGGGCAGCCTTTTGAATCTTGGTTTCATAAGTATGCGTCTCGAAGAATCGACGTTCACCCAGCTCAATTGCCATGACCTCCGCGACATCTTCATAGAGGTCTTCGATGGAATCCTCATTCCGTTTTGATTTGATATGCTTGGTGATGTCCCTGACCCAGAATCTCCAATCTTTCGTCTCGATAAGATTCTCCAATTGCGCAGTCTTACCCAAAAGATGAGAAGCTTGCTTGACAGGCGCATTTTTCTGCGACTTCACCCTCAATGTGAGCGCTTTCACAGAGTTGCTCAATTTCGATATGTCAGCCCGACTGAAGATATTTCTCACTACGGTTGGAACCGATCCAGGTGCATACTCCAAAGATGCTTCTGGAAGAAGGTTTACCCTACTTCTTGCTTCGTCAGGAATTCCAGATAGGGCTTGAGTGGAGTCGTTGTCATTTGAAAATGCGTTGTCTTGGGTGAAGTTCAGCGATTGTGTCGCAAGTAGTGAAGATGTCATGGATTCATTCCTCGCATAAGCAGTTGCGGTCATAGACACCGCTAGAAGATACGGTAAGGGGCAGATATACATGATGTGTTGTTTGAGGCAGCTGGAAAGATTGCAATTGAGGATCAAAGACGACTTGCTTGTATTTCTGATTCATAGCAGATTCCATCTCATGACCAATCATTGCTGGAATACTATGGATAGGCTGTTTTGGATTTCAAGAATGATTTTGTGGGATCGTCTTTGACAAGGTGAGAAAATTTAAATCACGTTATACTAAACCTCGTTCTTCTTTCATTCTTGACTTGATACTTACCCTCGCTCATGTGTTTTTTATTCACTCTATCCGTTATTATACTTTAACGTGATATTTTTTAAATGTCGCTGCTTACTTTGCGACAATATATAACGTTTCTTTGAAATAATTGTCAGACGCTGTTCCTAAAACTTTCCGTAAAAATAAGTTCTGGCTAGTATCATCGCTGAAATAGGACGTAAATGTTATCATACTCCTGAAATTCTTACAGGTTGAAGACTGAAGAAGCAGGAAACAGAATTGAGCAGTATACAATATTCAATTTCAATAGATGACCAACTTTCGTAATAAAAAACATATGTTTTTTATAGAAAAAATTGATTGATGCGAGATTTTTGAAGACCTGTTCAAGCCATGATTGCGCATGCGAGATCTTACAATTTCAGTATCTTACGTACCATCTCGGTAGTTTGAAGCTGATCAAGATAAACAAACCAGCTCGAAACATACGGGACTTGTGTCGCCTTAAGATTGTAATAAAGCAAGAAATTTTTTTGAAGCCCTTCTTTTCCACAATAACATGTGCGAAAATTGCGATGCAAGTGCACATGGCTCATTCTGTTTTCTTACCTCGTATTTTACTGTATTGTAGTAAAAATGGTTTCCGTTTAGAAATTTTGGTGAAGCAAGTATGGAAGAAAGGCAGGCATTCGTAACGATTATGCACATGGTATCAGCACACCCTATATTACAAAATTGTATCAGAAATTTATCCTGCTGCACGAGTAACCAGAACCGCGACTGACAAAGATTTTTTCGAAAGGTGCGCTCTATACGCCTATCCTGCCTCAAATACCTCGGTCTGGTATTGTTGCAGTCTCCGGTACTCCGCCTTTCACATTCGCAAGTAATACGAGAATGCTATAATAAACATTTTCTCGTTGGATCAGATTCGAGCAGATGCACCACAATCCCATTGATTCATTACGAGATTCTTTATTTTTTCATTGCAGGTTTTGTCATTGTTTTTAAAGCAGTCGTTATCTACTTGACATATCCCGTGAAACAGGGATGTTTACAATACTTAATGAATTACACAACATGTTTACGCTTAGAAGATTGGTGTGTGTCAGCTGAAAGTTGTCCACGTATTACTTTCGACTACCTGTTACGGGGATGTACTGTATAAACTGATTACGTAACACAACAAACTCTCTACAACAGTACCTGCACAGATGTATAGAAGAGGCTCGTGGGTTTTAGCCTACAATTATAATTGAGCATAGTAATATCTATAGTATTTGTGAAATAAAGATATAAACGTAGAAACATGCAATAGTGTATAATTACGCAACTAAGTATTGATATATTTGAAGATGATTAAAATTTGTCCAGAAGACGTCCATGGTATCTAAAGTAATTAAGACAATTTCAATATTGGATATGGTAAAGCGCATACATTAGTTAAGATAGTTTAATACGATTACTCTTAAAATAGAAGCCACTCTTGAAATACTTGGTAGATACTCAGTTTCTCGGTCCCGAACCTGGGTGAAGCGTGTGAACCCAGCGTACGATGGGATTGCCGTGCAGTTTGGACATAAGAAGTTCTGACTCATAGAGTCTGCGTTAAAAAACGCACAGAGGTTGAAGTCGTTTTGCCACCCTCAAGAGTGAAACCGTGTTGTTGTGTAAACGTAACCCTATCACATTATAAGAAATTGTAGTTATTACAATATAATAAAAATTCACGGAATTCATTTTACACTCGAAATAAACAGAAATACTGAAATATCAATGTTTATGATAAGATGACGAATATCCAGAGGGTAGGTGTTTTAGTATGAAATAATATAAATGTATTAGTCCAGACAAAATTACTATCTAATATATATTCTCAGAATAGCAGGACAAGCTCATAGTGTTGGTTTTCTCAATCCTGGTCGAAGCGCTCAGAATTTAATACTGTGCGTTCGTTAACATGGACAATAAAAGGGCAATCTTCTTCTGTGCAAAGTGCATGACCACCGCGTTGCAGAGGCATCTAAAGCAAGTTATCAGCAAGCTCTGCTATTTCAAGATTGACATGTAATAAGATTAATATTTTATAGTCTAATACTAGAAATATGCTTCTTATATGAATACTTTGGTAATGATGGATATTCAAAATCAGACCAAACTACAATAAAAATTTGCTCAACTGTATATATTAAATGCAATTGCGTCAAATTTTTAAGGTGTAAGTACAGCTGTACAAGATACATAGTTCGTTACAACATCCCTCACCAAGATAAAGACTTTACATTTCGTTTGACTGCCAAAATATTAGCACTCTACATGCGTCCACGTCTTACCCGACCCTTGGCACATCCGTGTCTGCTTCCTCTAGCATGCTCGCACTGGGAATTCCCTTTTATGCAGCGGGGCTGCCGTCGCTCTTAGCATGGAAGAAGCGAAGCTAAGGTCACCGACCTTACGTTCTATACAAAACCAGTACGAGTGTAGCGGATCGCAGTTCGTTACCTCTAAGTGTACTTCAAACTTTAGCCAAGGTAAATCCGTTCAAAGTTGAATAGTATTTGATTGTTCTATTTGCGGCAGAGCTGCCTATATCTAAAGCCTTAGGTTTTCCCAATTCGATAGTGAAACTAATTAATAT